ATAATATACCAATTTACTAATATTTTAATGAATTTTTATTGTATGTATACAATGTCAATAATCTTTCAATTATTCCAACGAAAGCCTTTAATGCTTAACATACCAATACATAATCAGTTTTTGTTTTGTACTTATTTTTTGGTATTCAATGTAGACTAATTTCTTTACATTATTTGTTTTTCATCGCAAATGGGATAAAATCACTGTAACTGGAGGATTTTTCAGAGCTTAAAATAATAATACTATGATTCTTAATATTCAGACTTTCTTTAGAATCTAACGATTGATAATTTATAATCGTAATATTTCAATCTCGCAAGAATAATTAAACCAAACACTCAGCTTAACAAAATGAATCATAAACTTTCATAAAACAAAGAAGAACAGTGATATCTGTCTAATAAAAAAATACATAATTTTGTAAATTACATTTAACTTTGATCGAATATTTCTTGCTCCTAGTCTTTAGCCTTATTCAATATTATTACAATCATTTAATATAAATATAAAAACGTAACATTTTAATCTTATAACAATATTCAAAGTGAATAATTAGCTGAGCAACTTGAATCTTAACTTTTATGTCGCAAAAAAACACAGTGATGTGACTCTTATAAATACACACTCACTTCCATAATCTATCGTGAACACTTATTTAACTTTCAATAATAAAAATAGAAAGAAAATGTAATAAAATAAAAATTGCAATCCATTTTTAATCTTTTTTTAACTGCAAATCACAATATTTCTCAATTGAGTCGGTTTTTTTCTCTTCTACAGACAGAAATTCTTTCGCGAATGACTTCTTAGAAGCTATTTTTTTTTGTTCGATTGCCATTTTCTCTTTTAATAATTCAATTTTTTCATCAGTCATTTTGTTAGTTTTTCTTTTTACCTTTCTCTTTGTCTATTTTCTTGGTTTGCACAAATTCAGTTTTTTTTTTAGTATTAACATTTTCATTCAATGCGTTATTATCATTTTCGTTACACAGATTTCTTTTTCAGCGAAGACAATGTAAATTTCGACGAATTTGTAGGTTTATCACCTAAAATTTCATCCATGTCCATCCAGTGAGCCAATTTATTGGGTTCCCGGCCTGATTTGTCTTTGCAGCTTTTATATGTTCTAAGAAGATTGTTCCATTTAGTAGAACACATATCTTCAGTGACATTATTTCGATGGCTGACGAAATCATTCACGGTATTCTCTCAATAGTGGTGTCTTTTTATAGGATGATATTGTTCATCAACATAAAGACCGTAACTATTGATGAGCAATTTCGTATCTTCATATTGCCAATAATATTTGTCTGATGATGAAACTTTGGCATTAACTTTAGGAGCTTGACTTGAAACTGTATTGCTCTTGATACCTTCGATGTTGTCTGCACTACATTCTTGCCGAAAATCACAGTCGTCCGATGTCGAACAGTCAGCTGGCAATTCATCAAACGATTGGAACATTTGACTTGGGATAACAATATCATCTGTTGTACTGTTGGAAGTGGAAGGCAATGTATCATCGATACATTTATCTGATGACAAACAACTGAGATTTTTATTTACATTTTGGTCATTCCTTTGATCTAATTTCAGTTTTATTTCTTCATACATATATTTTGTGTATTCTTTATCTAGAACATGAATAACCATTAATAATTAAATGATGACAATAGGTTGAATAATGATGTAAATCACATTGAAAGTAATTTAAGCCTAATATGTTTATGTTGAACATCATAATCTGGTTAGAGGTTAAGCAAATAAATTTCATTGCACTTACCAACTTTCATTCGTTTCTGTTGTTCTTCTGTAATATGGTACGGAAAAAATAATTTTGTTGTTGGGTTATAAAAGAAGTGCACTACCAATTTATTTAAATTAGACATTTTAAAACAAAAAAATAATTAATTAAGTGACACAATAACTGGCTAAATATATGAAGAAAATGATAATAATAATTCTTTTTCTCGAGCATGCGTAATTCATAAGAAAATTATTGCACATGCGTCAGAAAATCACTCTGATCACCGAAAATCAGCAGCGAACACCGCCGGTTCATCCAGTTGCTTCTCTTTCACAAGTGCAAACGCTTCTTTCGTGGATTCAATGTTGAGATAGAGGTTTAATTGAAGAAGACGGAGCTCGTCGGTCCTTCTAATGGCGGCATTCTTTGCGGTATTTCGGGACGGCGCCCGACCACTTGGAGTCGGGACGGCGCTATCACCGTCTTGGTTGTCTCGTGGTTTGCATACCGTGATGTTTCGTATATAATTATTATAATTATAATCAGAATTGTGTGAATCAGCATCACCATTATTAATATTATTAACTTCTCAGTGGGGAGTTATAGTGATGGGTCCGATTTTGCGAATCCCGAATTTTAACATATCTCCACGTTTGAAGGTCCCCAGAGTCGAATGCGATCGTTTTCCAGTGGACGTCTGTGTGTGTGTATGTACATATGTGCGTATGTGCGTGTGTGCGTATGTATGTATGTGCGTTCGGAATTATTTCTCGCCTCAATTATCTCGAGAACAAAAAATGATATCGATCTAGGACCAATTGCATTCGACGCGTAATTATGTATCTTAGAATTGATTAGATTTTCAGCAAAATCGGTCTAGCCATTTTTTTTTGCAGAACCAAAAAACTAGCAAAAATGGAAAATGACCTGAATTTCTCAATTTATAAATTATACCATTTTTTAGACAAAATTTCGAATTCTTAAAAAAAATATGAATATTAAGTGATTAGAATATTTGTATGAAAATATGGTGACAATATTTCATCGAAAAAAAAAAATTTAAAAAACAAAATCAGCAATGAAAAAATTTTAAACTCGTGTCAGGATTGAGAAAACAGCATTAAAAAGGCTATAATAGTCAATAATAATTGTCAATAATATGGAATTGTGTTCATAACAATTGTACATTTACTAACAAGTGATTATTGATCATAGTAATATTTAAATAATAAGTTGTAAATGGTTATAAACAATAAAAATAGGGATCCATTCTACATATATGAGTACTTTTAATGCATAATTTTTTCTTTTACTAAAAAAATGTTACCAACCATATGACATGAATGAAAACAGACTCATTTCATTTATAACAATTCTATTCGTTATAAAGAATAAAAACAGGTTCTATTCGAATTGTTTTTTCATTTTTTCCACTGGGAAGTTAGTCGTGTGGACCTTTCGGGTCGCACCCAGACCACTGCAGAGCACTGATATTTATTATTATTATTATTATTATTATTATTATTATTATAATCATCTTGCGATTTGTCAGAGGTGTCTGGCCAGGGATCCCAGGGCTTTGACCCACCTGGGGCCTGACCAGACGGGATTATCCTGCAGACGCCCGACTCCCTCAGGTTTGAGGGTGAGCCGGGGCTGCAGCCGTTTAGTCGAAATTTTTACAAACGTCTCAGGATTCGGAGAGAACCAAGGATGATCGCTTTCTGCATACGAGCCGCGAGAACCTCAGCCTGACTGCAGCAGATTGGTATTGTTCGGAGCTCTGTCAAAAAGCGGTCCCTTATCCCTCCAGGGCGCTAATCATCAGGACTCTTACGTGCGCTGTGTATTCGAGATAGACATTTCTCATATCCTCCATGAGCTCTCTGTAGCGTTCCTGTTTACTCTCTTATTTCGCACGTATATTCGTCTCAGCCGGGGCTGAGAATTCAGTGTTCTCAGTATGCCATGTTAAAAAAAAAAAATCATCAATAATAAATTCAGAAATCCACTTAGAAATCTACTTAGGAATCCACTAAGTGCGGGTCTCTAGTCTCTACTCTCTAACGCTAGATCTTGGTATTGAGCGTAGATCCGGTAGTAATCCATTTCACACAAAGTGGCTCGGTGGTATGGTCGAAGAGAGTAAGATCCAGCTTATTGTGTTCATTGCGTTGAGGCGTAGAAAGCGGGTAATTCCAAAAAATTTTGCTCTCCCGTTCTCAACGACTGACTCAATTTCACCGGACACATAGGGCAGCACTGGTGTCTCGTCTATTTCATAAGAGTGCCGAAGGTAGTAATACAGCACTTTTAGGGCGGCGTTATGCCGGTGAATGTAGGCTGAGCGCGCTAATATCGAACAAGCCGATAGCACATGAAATAGCGTCTCATCTACATTACCGTGGCAAACTCGGCATCTTGTGTCCTCGAGTTGCTCGTGCATAACATCACGCCGATAGGCGAGGGTGGAAAATACACAATCTTGGCATGCCATAATGAATTTTTCGGTCTCAGAGAACAAGCCAGCTGACTTGAGGTATTGGAAAATCAGCTGGTGTGACAAGTCCTGTGTTTCGAGATGACGATAAAACACACCATGTGAGGACTTTGCCACATGTTCGTCGAGCAGTTTTAACTGCTCGGTCGTTTTTATATCGACCTTTCGCTGCCCTCTCGTCAATTACAAAAGCCTTAGACCGTCTGGGCTGCTAGGGTCGAAAACTGAGCCGAGGATCTGCGCTGCCTGATATGCTGCTCTATATAGAAATGCATCCCTTCCCAATAGTTCAAAGCTGTTCACGAACTTGAGAAGAGGATCAGAGCTCTCATAGATGTCATAAGCCAGCCCTATTACTAACCTGTCATGTGAACACTCCAAACTTAGTAGTCCACGCCCTCCCAGATCACGGGAAAAGTATAGGTGGAGATCCGTTGCCGAGCCCTGACAACGGCCTTCCATTGCGGGAGGTCAAAAGATACCTTTTCTGTGTTTAGTATGCAGAGCCCGGGAGAGTTGTGAATTTTTGGTCGGGTAAGGCTCACTGAGCATTTACGGATTCGAAATACTCTGCCAATCGGGTTTACTCGAGTACCCAGTCGATTTAGGAGCACAAAGCATTCCTTTGACTGGGCAAGCTCGTATCGAGACGGACCGATCGCGATCGCGTGCGCGTAGCCAGGTTCGGAGACCGGCTGTTAGCGAGAGTGCTAGAAGGCAGCGTGCGCGAGGCCAACCGGACACCCTGTCGTAAAAAATGTGGAACGCTTCACGATTTTGCGTGTCATCCTTGTGCAGGGGCCATGCTAATTTCTGTATTATCAATTTTAGTATATGTACTGCTGAAGCAAGTACATTGTCTGAGTAAAAAAGCCATGCTTCCCCCGTCCGAAGGACGGAAATTGAGTACCTCGCCTCTTTGGGCATAATTCTGGGAAATTATAACTCTACTCTTTTCGCGATGACATTTCCCGGGACGCGTATACCTGCACCTTAGAACAGGCACAGAGATACACGTAACAAGCCCGAGGCCTTACAACATACCACTACGAGTCCGACCTCAATCGGCCAGTTGTACCTAGGCCTACATGTCTTATTTCGACTTTGCAGCCCCAGGCACAGGGCTTGGAATTTGGCCTCCTCTAGCACCAACTTTATCCGCTTTCGTCGGCGGTCGCTAACGCGTCTCGCTCTCGGCGTGTTCGAAGTTCCCACATTCAGACTACCATCTAGGGCAGAGTAAAAATGGGGCACGACGAACTATAATCTGCCCCCGTTGTTACGCGACATATCTTAAAGAATAGAAACATCTATGTCACCCCGGGGGCCCGATTGTCTGAGTAAAGTTGAAAAAACCCATTTCAGGTACGGAGTCCCATGCCTGTTCTATACCATCTCTCGGTTACAGAAATCTGGATCTAATTCTGTAAGCTCATCAGAAATGAATTTAAGATATTTAACTGTTGTTTTAATATTGACTATGCTCTGTTCCAATCTTGCTTGGTTTCCTGGTGTTCTGACTTTGAGTCGGCTGAGTGAGAAGTCGGGACTTTGTGGACTGTATTTTTTAGGATGTTTGGATGCTAGAACAGTCGGGACTTTTGAACGGTGTAAATGAGTTGGCTGACACTATTTAACAGTAACAGTTAACGATTTATTAAACACTAAAATCACAGTAACAGAAAAATAACAATAAAAGAGTCTTTGAATTGTCTGTACAGTCTTGAGTTCACGGAAATTTCACACAGAGTTCACTGATGAGTTGACTGATGAGTAGAGGATCACAGGAAAGTTGTAAGTTTTCCTGTACTGGTCTCTGCACCAGGAGTAGCCTGATTTTTTTGAGTAGTCTGGGTTTCATTGTGTTGGCGTCAGCCACACAGACACGAGTGAGTTGTTCGTGTATGGATCTTGTGTGTGTGTCTGTCCATGAGGCCGTGAGGCGTTGAAGCCGACATCATTCGCGCCTTTTGTAAGAAGGTGCTGATGCGGACCAACATGAGCTTCCTGAGGATGTCTTCTAAGAGGTAGACTACCTGATGAGTTCATAATCATCACTATAGATGATTAACTGGTGAGTTAGTCCATGTCTGAGGAGTTGTCTGGGTTTTCACTAGAGAGTTCGACTGCGTGAGCTCTCTGCTAGTACACACGTACCGAGTTGACTGTTACAACGAGTTGTCTGTGGGTTGGCATCGTCCGATGATGCCCAAGAATCGTTCGAGTACGAGCTACGTACGAATACTCGCAGTAACCGGCGAATACCGACAAATATAGACCGTTTTTCTCGAAGCTTCTAGGCCCTTAGAGAAGGGATGTATATGCCTAGGAATTAATTAGAGTTGTCTAATTGGCGAAAATGAGTTGGCAGGAGAGACCTTGAGTCATCTAATTATTCGGTGGGGAGAAAAATGTTAGGCCGTCGATAGAGTACCTTAGACCAAGTCAGAACACCTGGTAAGTCTTCGAATCGGTCTACGAAGGTTTCAAACTTGGTTGAAGCTGCTTTGATTTGTCCACGTCGAAATGCTGCAGTCTTCTTGTACGGTTTCGTTGTGATTTCAAATTTTTCTCAATAGCACTAAACAACACATCAGTTGAAAATATTTGATAAAATTTAAAATCTCTTATAGCGCATATAAATACTTACAATCAAGCCTGCTGCAGAACTAATTTCTCTGTTTTCTCAAATATTTTGGAATATCATTCTTTGACTGGCGTAGATGAGAATTCCACTTGCAGCATGTGGCTTGAGTTTTTACTTCCCACATGTTGTGTGTGAATGTCGAAGTCACACTTCTACACTTATTACATGTGGTCATGTAGTTTTCTTTATTTTCTACACACACGTATTAGGAGTGGCCGCAACATGGCACCACCATGTTCCAATAGAAGGTGCGTAAGCTCTACGCAGAGAAGAGAGAAATTTTCAAGACCGAATTGTTGTATTTTTCACAAATCTGTTTTAACGTAGATTTATTTTAAAAATGCTTTAATTTATTTGCAATTTAATAAATTTCTGTATCTTTATAAAAAGCCGACATTAGATTAAAAATACTTCATTTATTGCAAATAAACGTTGGTGTATGCCAGTTATGAAATTTGTGAAATTGGGATCATTTTGAAGGGTTGTAATTATTTTATATCCACTAGTTAGGCTCTCATTAACAATATCCGTGAATAACCAAGACATATTATCGTCGTTTTTATTTTTCTAATCTAAGATATTAAAAAGCACAGAGTGCGTTTTAAAATCCTACCATTAGTGCTGTTCCTCCCTTAGCATTAATGAGTGTGTTCAGGACAATTTAACACAGCTCAACAATTCAACATGTGTTGAGTCAACACATTGAGTTTGAACATGATCGTAGTAATCACACAAAAATTAGTGTGATTACTGATAAGAGCGCCACCACCACTAAAATTTGAAAGGAATCAAAAAATTCTGTTCATATTAATGGATATTTATTATTCCCTTTGTCGTATTAATTATTTTCAAAATTATATAAGCGTATTTGTTCACAAATAAACATTTTTTATAAAGATAACACAATATCAAATTATTTACGTGTAGTATAAGTTAACGGAAAGCACCTACAATAATAATTATTATATTATTCTATGATAAAGACCGTTGACTCCTTCATTTTCATTAAAATGATAGGAAATTGTAAATGAAACTCAATGAAAATCAATGATTACAGAACTATAAAAAATTAATGAACAAAACGCGATGTAAGGGATGTGGCACCACTTCACTCATACGGCGTTTTTAAAAAATACGATGAAACTCGAACGGCGTTACTGTTGATATCACAGGAATCAATATTCAGTTTATAGCTATAGTTGGTAATAGTATAAGCAGCATTCTATATTATTGACGATTGCATTACTATTATTCATTGTTATAGACAAGAACGAAGTGCAAATACGTGTATATTTTTTATCATTCATTAGTTTTTAGACACATCAATTTATACACTAATATTTGGTCAAATAATTTACTACTTTCTTCTGGCAAATTACTATGCTACGTTATGCTGAATGAATACACCGATCAGATTTGCATATTTACATTTCTTGAAGGTTGTTTGCTACTGAATTGTTATCAATAAATTGTTTCATAAATAGTTTTCTCCTTCTCCATATAGATTCATTATCATCAGATATAAAATCATTATCACTGATAACAAATATATACATTACACAGTAATTAAGTTAATTTTCAGTTTAATTCAATATACATTTTTGTCAGCCAAACTGTTTCTATCTTTTAAATATAATTATTACTTTAACAGTTCAATTATACATTTTTTTTGTTGTTTAATTTCATAAACAACATATTTAGTTTTTCGTTCCACTAGTAAGTTTAAAAATGTTTTTTGTTTTCAATCAGAAAATTGATCAAAATTAACTTTAATTTAACTAGAGACACATTAAAGTTTTAATCGATATGTATTAATTGTATGATAACTTAGTAACTTGTAATAATAATAATACTCCTAACAATAATGATTGTTAAGCTTCTGAGAATAATATCGTAACTTATATACTACACATATTACACACAGAAAAAATATTTTAAGTAAAAATTACTACATCCGCGCGGGTAATCGTGTTCCATACTTCAGTTCACGGCAAAAAGTAACAATTTAAATGGTAGATATACCTATAACTTCAGCGTAAAAAGTTCTATTTGTTGTAGTAAAATTGACCACTAAGCGGTAGTAAAAATTAATATTTTATCAAAAATTACTTTATTATTTTATAAATATTACAAATTCTTATTTCAAAAAATACATAAATGTTATAGATTTTAGGTTATAGTCATTCATCGAACAAATTAAGTTGATTCACTGATTTTGGTTGCTAATATTATTATTTTCTCAAATTTAAACTTCAAATTTAATTGACTATTATGGAATGTTCTCTGGTTTTTCTTACAGTGCAAAATAGAATCAATATGATGATGGTAAGAGGTTAACTTTGGATATTATAGTTTACGTGAATCTTGTATAACTAAGATATACTAATATAGAGCTGAGCATATTGGTTCATGTGGGTCAGTCATCAATGCAGAATCATTGCATAATTTTAGTGTCACGCATCAAGTCGTAACAAATGGTGGAAGACAATATGTAATTAAGAACTGGTTTTAATAAATAAAATATTTGAAAATGACGTTGTTTGATCCTAAATTCTTTATTCCAATTTTTTTCAATAAAATATTGAATAATATTACACATATAAAATTGAAATTAATAAAAATTGATAAAATTAAAATAAAAATAAATTAAATATATTGGATAATGTTTCATTTTTGTGTTATTTCCATTTTTTTCGTTTTATTGATAAAATTTTTTAACATAAAAATTATTATTAGACTATTAGAAATTTCTCAAAATGTAAAGTAATAATTACAATAAGATGTGGTACTTTTTACACTATTTAATAGTAAGTTTTACTTTAGCGCCCTCATGGTCCCCGAGTACTATGGGATATAGTACTTTTTGCCTGTTATGTCCGACATTTTTGTATCTCAATTCAGCGAGTTGTTCATTTCATCACTCTTTGGTTAATCAACAACCTAGACGGTGACACGCAGGCTTGATTGCCCCGCGCTCGCTGACCACGTCGCGATAGTAAGTTGAGAATTCTATTAAGATTTTTCTCGGTATCTTAACGAAGTGTTTGTTAACTTAGACCTCTAGAATCTGTTCAAAATCTAATATAGAATCATCTCGGTTCACGTGCGTACTGAGACGCCTTCCAAAAGGACTCATAAAATAAAATATAATAATAAATCTCTTCTTGAGTTTTATTTCGTATTAATTTATAACTCATATCGATTTGTAATTGTGTTTGAATGAACTGAAGTGAACGAAAGAGTATTTAGTGCGTCAAAGTCTTCTTGAGAAAGCACCTCTATCTACCTTTGTCCAAGTTCATTTCCTGTCAAGCCAATATTATAAATTTACTCTTCGATCAACACCTGAAGTTGCTGATCTAATTAATTTTATATTGTAAGCCGACACTGCTGTGCGGTAAGTATTATAATAATTTACTTTGTCACATTAATTCCATTCATTGAGGCGTGGGTTCTTGTAAGATAAAACTTCATTGCGACAATTCTCTTTGAGATTCGCGCAACAGCTTTCTTCTGATTACTCTTGTTATATCCGAAGATATTTATTATTAATTAATTTGAAGAATTAATTAAATGGGTTGGTAGCAGCCAAAGGCTAAACGAGGGATCTTGGGCTAACAGGGCTTTTCTCTTCTAACATATGTAATACTAGAAGAATTTGTTATTTAGAAAGGAATCGTTGCAATGAAATCTTATGTCACGAGAACCCACGCCTCAGTTAACAAACACTTCGTTAAGATACCGAGAAAAATCTTAATAGAATTCTCAACTTACTAACGCGACGTGGTCAACGAGCGCGGGGGCAATCAAGCCTGCGTGTCACCGTCTAGGTTGCTGATCAGAAGAAAAACCCTTGAGTGATGATTTTTGACGGTTTTTATAGCAGTAAAATGGCCCATAAATTGAGGAAATTCAGGGGGAATTTAGGACAGAAATTGTAGTATATTGGGAAATTCTGAGTAAGCGTGGATGACTTTAGATGTTCCAGTTTTATGATTTCTTAATCTTGGATGTTTTTAAAGTTAACGAATTTTATTGAATATTTTAATAGCAATAAATTTGGTTAGATGTAACACTCTTTTGAGTGACATCTGAGTAACATCTTATAAGTATTTAATTAGTTAGCTACTGTTTATAATTCTATAATTCATTACAAATATATATAGTGAATACATATATATTTGTGTTTTATAATATTACATTTATTGACTTTTTCAATCTACAATATTTATTGCATATAATAGTCATTTTTTTATTATAAATCTGTTTATAGATAGTTACCAATGGAAAGAAAATGTTCATAAAATGTTCTCTTCGAATACGTTTTTTGGTTTTTCATAGACAAGAATACCATATATTAATTTATATGCTACGCAAATTCTGAACATACACATGATTAATTAATAAAAATAAGTATGTCACGTGCTACTAAATTATATTTGTAAATATCAATCATTTTTTTCAACTACTATGAAATTAAAGGTATATATTAAATCTACATTGTTTTCTGATAACACATGTTTATTTTGGTACAATTTTTATCAATATATTTTTGTAATTTCACGTGAACAATACATAGCTACAGAAAACTAAAAGAATATAAAATGTTGATTCGAAGTAAAGAAATTTTGATTACGATTGTGTAAAAATAACTAATATAATAATGATAAAATAAAACTTGCATATAGCCAAAAAAATTTATTAAAAAAAGTCCATATAGATATAGTAAACAATTGTTTAAGAAATATTTGATTATATTTACAATTAAAAAGATTCTAAATATTTACATGAGGCATATTTTTTTCGTAAAGAAACATTCAAGAATAATTTCTTTTCATATAATAAACAATTCAATAATAACGAAAATGGAGCCGTCATATAACTATTCAAATTTCTATTAGCATAGTTGAAAAGTCTTCAGATTTGTAAATTTCGAACATGTAAACGCGACTTGGAGATTTCATAATAAATTTCGTAATCCGTCCATTAAAAAAAAATTCTTTACACAGAAATTAGTAATGTGCTGAAGGGACACAATTTCAATTTTTCACAGATAGCAGTGCACAGTAAAATAAGGAATATGAAAACTACATTCATGAAAGCAAAAAAGACCAATAAAAAATCTGGTCAGGGCGCAACACTTGGCCGCGGTACGATAAAATGGCTGAAATATTCACAAATAATAAATCCGTAATTTTGAATGAAAATCAATTCATTCAAAATCATCCAATGGCAAGCAGCTCTCCAGAAATGTAAGTATGAACATTTGCTCTGCGCTTTAAGCAATTCAAAGAAATAATTCACTCGATATTGTTAAACGTCTCCAATGTTTGTTGAACAAACCACCGACGGAAAAAGGAGATAAAGAAACTAGTGACGAGGAAAGTGCAGAAGAAGGCAAAAAAAGTAATGAAAAAAGACGAGCGAAGAAACAATTGTACCAACAAAGGGAAAAACAATTGGACATAGAAGCTGGAAAATTAAAAACTTTAGAATTACTAACAACTACTATCTAAACCTACCAAGTAGAGGCAGTTCGTAGAGGGGAGAGGCAGGAACAACTCATGTTGCAATATTTAGAAGCAGTTAACAGTCGGACTGAATTAATCGTGGGAATCATGCGAAGAATACGTGGCTTTTCACCAAATAACTACACGGAAAAATTTTTCTCGTATTTTTTAGTATAAAAACTTAGGTAAAAAGTACTATATCTCATAGTACTCGGGGACCATGAGGGCGCTGAATCAAAATCAAACTCTGTACAATTTTATACGTTCACACCTAAAGAACTGAGAAATAAAAACATCATTCTTAAAGGAATTAAAGGAGATTATAATGAAGATAACGTAAAAAGTGATATTGCTAAGCTGAACCTACAAGATATTAACATTACTAAAGTCATCAAATATATTTACAAGTTTAATAATAAACAATTCCATCATTTCTTAATCCAAGTCTCTCACGATTCAGATATAACTCAACTGATTAATATTCGTTCTCTTCTCTACCAAGCAGTTAGATGGTAACCGCTGAAAAAAAAGAAGATCACACAGTGCAAAAACTGCCAAAGGTTGGGGCATTCCAGTATCAATTGCTCTTTAAAATACCGTTGCGTAAAATGTACTGATAACCATGAACCAAATAATTGTGCAATTAAAAACGAAATAGATAAAAGTAATGAGTAAGAAGATAAAGTGATTATCAAGATAAATAAATTGCTCATCAATCAGAAGAAAAATCCTTCTCGCAAAATCAAAAACCTGAATGAAATAGTACCGGGAAGCTCATATGCAAATGCAGCAAGTAACAATGCATTGAAGAAGTCCGCAAATAATTCTCAAGCATCCAATAGTAATCATAATTACTCCGATCATAATCATAACTCTAATATGAATAACAGTCAACCTGAATGGGTCAACTCATTCAAAGATGATTTAATCTCAGCAATCTCAACAAAGCTCAACACAATCTCTTCACAGGTGGAACTCAATACTTCCAAGATAGAATTTATACTAAATTCACTTAATCTCAAATGGAATTAAATAATACAAATAATAGAAGCATAATAGGTTGCAGTGATTCTAACACTAGCATTTCAATTAATGAAATTAATATCATCGCAATTAATGTGAACTCCATTGTTCACAATTCAAGACGATATAATCTTTGTGAATTTCTGGATGAGCATTCACCAGATATAGTTCTCCTATCGGAAACAAAGCTCAACAAAAATCATAAATTCAGTTTAGATAAATACATAATTTTCAGGAATGATAGAAGCAAAGCTAAACTAGGTGGTGGTACAGCAATACTATTATCAAGAAGGATTAAAGCTGAAAGAATCATAATACCCTCAGTATCTTCCAATAAAATAGTAGAAGTGTCAATAGTTAAAATCAAAATGGGAAGATCATCGTTATTTATTATTTGTATGTATGCAACAACCAAGGAAAGTAAGAACTGTTTCATCAAAGAATTGAATTTCCTTATGAACTCACTCAAACTAAGTTATCCAGAAAATTATTACGTAATCGCTGGTGATCTGAATGCTCGTTCTTCTGCTTGGAGGGATAGAGGCCTAAATCAACGAGGAATACATATTAATCGCTGGCTTTCCAATGAAGGAACAATGTTTAGATCTAAAATAAACCATACTAATGAGCCCACCTATATCCCAGCTGCTACTTATCTCGACTTATGTATTGCTGACAATAGACTTAACCTCAAAAATCTAAATGATAATGACATTCTCAGAAAATTATCTTATGAAAGCGACCATTTAACTTTGAGTTTTACATTAGAACTAGTTACTGCTGCTAAAGCTACAGTTGAAGATATACCTGCTAGACCCGACTATAAAGCTACAAATTGGGAAAGCTTTATGGAGTTCCTTGAGGATAATACTACAATAGAAGTTCCTGTTAATTTAAATATTACTCGTGAAGAAATCGATTATTATTTTACTCAATTAAATTCAGAAATCCTAGCAGCGATAGAAACAGTCACACCTAAATGCAATAAACACTCCAATAGTGTATTGAAATATACCAATGTCAAAATTCAAAAACTGCAGAAAAGAAAATCAAAACTTTTAACAATAATGAGGAAAATCTAGATCGGAAAACTTAAAGTCACCAAAAACGTCGAGAAGCAACTGAACGAATTATTAAAAACGCTTAAATTATCAATCAAATTAGAATTTGAAATATCAATTCAAAACTACTGGAAGAAACAAATTAAAAAGATAGATTATAGAAATTCAGAAGCCTTCTTTCCTAAAATCAATAGACTTCTAAGAAAAAGAAAACCTATTTCAATAGAAACACTCAGAATACATAATACAAATGATCAAATCATCAATAGAGCCAAAATTAACCTTCAAAACCAATATTCTGAAAATGGATCCATAATAATTAATAACGATAAAAATAAATTAAATGTCTTAGGTGCAACATTTGAAGAAATAAATTCACCAAAAAGTCTTAATGCTAATACACGTCTTACTGATCTAATTCAAAGAAAAATTAAAACCATTAAGGACCAATATCTCATAACTGAATCAGAAAAACTAACAATAACTGACTTTGATGACAACAATAAAGCAGATTCCTCAAATACTGATACGTCTGAGGACCATAAAATTTTCACTGAATTCTTTGAAGTTTATGGGATTATGAAGTGGCTTCCAAATAAAACATCGAGTGGCATTGACCTCATTCCACCAATAATTATAAAACATTTACCAGACAAGATAATCAAAACAATCACTATTTTGTTCAATCGTGCTATTAACAATTTGTATTTTCCGTCCATCTGGAAAACGGCAAAACTTCTTCCTCTTCTTAAACCTGGAAAAGACTCTTCAGATCCAAAAAGCTACCGGCCAATCAGCTTAACCCCTTCATTAAGTAAGGTGTTTGAAGCTGTTATAAATATTAGAATCAATGATCATTGCATAACCAATAACCATAACCAATTCGGATTTAGGAGGCAGCATTCGACATGTCACGCCATTTTTAAGCTCCTCTCAGACTTATCTGCTCATTTTAACAATAATTTAACAGTCGGTGCTGTACTAATTGATGTTGAAAAAGCATTCGACTCAGTGTAGCAAGACGGCTCAGTATTTAAATTAAAAAAAAAAACTTCAGTTCTCACCTAATACTACTGATTATGAGTATGATCAAGGAAAAAAAGTTTATCACTTGGAATGGCTGAGAAACGTCATCTGAAACTTTTCACATTAATGACGGTCGTCAACAAGGAACGGTGAACTCTCCTATTCTATTTAACATCTTCACCAGTGATTTTTTAAATGCGTTTAATCTGAATGATGGTTTTGGGGCAAATTTCATTGCTTATGCAGACGATATTATATCATATAGTGCAAACAGAGATGCTAATGTTATTAAGAAAGATTTAGAAAACTTATTCCAAAAACTTAACCGAATTTACAGAACTTGGAACCTTAAAATAAATCCACTGAAGTCTGAATGCATAATTTTCAGAAGACCTGAAAGTTATTTGTCGAAAAAAACCAGATTAAGCATTAAGTCTTTCTCTATGGAGGTTGAAGCGTTCGACGATAATGGACATATTGCTGACCAAAAATTATTAATCAAAAGAAGCAAATCAGTTAAATATCTTGGATTTAACATTGAAGAGCTAGTCAGAGGTAATCTTCATATCGACATTCAATTAAACAAAGCTATTAATGCATTTAAGGCTAATAGTGCCATTTTTTACAATCATCAGCTCAGTAAAATCGCTAAAGTCATTTGCTATCTTTTACTAATTCGCTCAATTCTGACATATGCTGCACCTTTATGGTGGAACACTAGTGCTGCGACAATGGAAAAACTCAGGGTATTTGAAAGAAGATGTCTTAGAGCCTGTTTAGGGCTTTATCGATCAGCAGCTTCAGGTTATTTAAAATTCATTAGCAACCTCGAATTATATGAAAGAGCACGAATTCCTAGAATTGACTGTCATATGTTAAAGCTTTCAAGAGACTTTTACAACAATTGCAAGATAATCAATAATCCACTAATCAACAAGATCATTGATACTAGTGATGATACCTTCGCAAAATGCTTTTCGACAGGTGAAATTCCTCCTCAAGCTTTTACATATTGCGACAACCACGGTCTCATTCAGGATCATAATAATATACCAATTATTTATCATTGGAAACGGAATAAGGCCAACAAAAGGATCTGCTGGCATGCCAACGACCTGATGGCTAACAGAAACAAGTTCACGTATTCAATGGATATTCCATCAAGAGATGTCTTAGATTTCCACAGAATTACTGCCAAGCTATGGTGGTTCTTTACAAGTGCTGTACACTACAAAGTTTTAGCAGCTCGTCACTCAGCTTATAAAAAAAGTGTTCAAACACGCATGAGAAAGCGCAAACCATAAATAAGTGAATAAGTGAATAGCATCATTCATTGTACATAGTGTAAATAGTGTATATATCAAGTATCAACCATTTATGATAATTTAATAGTGATTTAATTTAGATGTTTAATACTTAGTTTACTAAGGACTGAATATACTTAGATGTTACTATTAATATTAAGTACGTAAATATCGCATAGATTAACCCCTTTCATAGAGTTTTGTTTTTTTTACTCTGTCTTTGCTTACAGCAAGTTATAAGACTCGCCTCATAAAACCTTCTTTTTATCAAATAGAATTATATCAGTTTGAGTAATTTTTACAATATACTGAATAGCTACTAAGCACCTTATTGCTTCAGTTCCTGTTGTTTTTTGTGCTCAAAAATTAATAATTTTCAAAAAATCAAAATAATTTATTGAGGAATTAATAAACTCAAAAATTACTATAGATAATTTATATTACTTAACAATTATCTCTTGCTTATGGCCTCCTGGCAGGCAAGTTAGATAAAATATCTGAAAGTTATGAGCAGCTTCAAAAGCCTAATAGCCTTTAAAATAACACTTGTTAACAATAGTATAAGGAAAATATTTTTGTTATGTTTATAAAGCTTTCTTTGACATAGAGAAATAACCTTTATAAACTCTACTGTATTTTGTTTAATAAACATATTCATCAAAAAAAAAAAAGTAAAACTTACTATTAAATAGTGTAAAAAGTACCACATCTTATTGTAATTATTACTTTACATTTTGAGAAATTTCTAATAGTCTAATAATAATTTTTATGTTAAAAAATTTTATCAATAAAACGAAAAAAATGGAAATAACACAAAAATGAAACATTATCCAATATATTTAATTTATTTTTATTTTAATTTTATCAATTTTTATTAATTTCAATTTTATATGTGTAATATTATTCAATATTTTATTGAAAAAAATTGGAATAAAGAATTTAGGATCAAACAACGTCATTTTCAAATATTTTATTTATTAAAACCAGTTCTTAATTACATATTGTCTTCCACCATTTGTTACGACTTGATGCGTGACACTAAAATTATGCAATGATTCTGCATTGATGACTGACCCACATGAACCAATATGCTCAGCTCTATATTAGTATATCTTAGTTATACAAGATTCACGTAAACTATAATATCCAAAGTTAACCTCTTACCATCATCATATTGATTCTATTTTGCACTGTAAGAAAAACCAGAGAACATTCCATAATAGTCAATTAAATTTGAAGTTTAAATTTGAGAAAATAATAATATTAGCAACCAAAATCAGTGAATCAACTTAATTTGTTCGATGAATAACTATAACCTAAAAGCTAATTTGGAAAATAAAACTCATGCAAAGACTTGTTACCTTGTCAATAGTACTACTTAAATCACTCGATAGAATAAAATCAATAATTGATGACCGTTATATTTTAATTGCTACCTGATGTTAATAAAATTCATAGTAAATTTAAAACTTACCTTCTAGATGACTGTAATATTTCAACTGCGTAGTATACATCTAGGGAGCCGGAAAGATTGCCCAAATGGAAATATATATAATGGTTAGTTTATAAGAAACGATAAGTTTAAGATACGACTTTATTGCGAGTACGGTTTTATAAAAATACTTTTTTTTAAAAATGATTTTTGTTTGATATGATTCATTATAAATAATTTTTTTAATAGAAAAAAATGATACAAGCAAAATAAATTTAGAATATGGTTTCTATAAAGTAGTCAATTTTTCAATTTACTTTTTATCTATGGAGTACAAGAAAACGTTTTTACCGGTTGTAGCCGATAAGTTGCAATACATAAAGATAAGTAGAAAACTATGTCTAAAAAAGGAATCTTCTTAAGTAGATAATTTGAATAGTAAATTTTTTAAAAATTATTTCAGTCATTTCATCAAATACTAATTTATACAATTATATAAATAATAGATCATATTTTAATAATTATTCAATAATAGGTCAAACTTATTTGTGATGATTAATTTACAAAAAATTCAATAAATTAGCTTTAAGAAAAAGTATTTTTTTTTTATTATAAATTTCAAGGAAATTATAATTATTAAATCATATTTGTAATTTAGTTACGAAAAAAAGAAAACTAACGATACAATTTTCTTTGTAAAGAACATTACGGTAAATGTGCTTACATAAAACTTGCATTGATAGTTATTTATGTCTTAATAAATCACTCTTAATTACTTATTTAACATGTCATAATTTTAAAACGATATTCTTCATTTTTTATAAGTTCCTAATCAAATGCACCAGATACATTTAAAACTTATTTCACTAAAAGAAATGTCAATAGTATGAAATATTTAGATATTTTCAACCAATATAAACCATTGTGATCCAACACTTGGCTCATAGTCAAAAACAATGTGTCGATTTCTATCAATTGCAACAATAAAAATATCAAAATAATAATTAATTATGATATAGTATGTAGGCAGATATTAATTTCAAATATCACTTCAATATATCATTCAAATATCATTTCAAAATATTGTCACCTGAAATTTGTTGAATTATTTCTTCTGCGCATTCATTACACATCATTCTGTCAGCGAACTCTTTTATTTTTCTTTTAAAAAATATGAAATGTTATTACCATCATTCTTAATAAGTTGACATGGAATTAATATCTCAGAGTTGTGCACGTGATTGTTAAAATAATTTTCAATAAGTATTGAAAATCTTTCTAACATAGTATTTCCCGGGATTTTGTTATTCTTTACTAATTTTCAAATTTGGATGATGCGTTATTTTTCAATTATTAGTTTTAAACCTTTGAGATTTCAACAGTTGTGTAGAGGGATTGTTTCTTAACCATTGAAATCTCTTGCCGTATCATTCATCAGAATTATAATTTGTTCTAAAAGATAAAAAACAACTGCATACAGTATATGTGAAACAAATGGAATACTTGAAAATTCACTAACTTTCATAAAAGTGTGAAAAAAGTCAACTCACTCATGAAGTAGGTGAAATTTGGTTGAACCCCAAACCTGCCAACTAAACTTTTCCAAAATATATCAGATGCTTTATTTAATCCAAATGGTTCTTCGAATAAAGTTATATCGATAAATCCAATCGACTCGATCGAGGTGTGATGAAAATAAGTGATAAATCCTTGAAGATTCAGACGTAATTGTTCCTCTAAACTGTTTATCAAATGCTCAAAAGCATTATTCACTTTATCCACCGGTTAAAGTATCGTAGTCATACATTTCTTTAAAAAAATGATGTGTTCAGGATTTTGTAAATCCAATCGATCATAAGCTTCCTAATATAAAATCTATAAAATACGAAAATATGAGCTGTGTATATGTATATGCATACATACGTTCATATACAGAAGAAAAAATCAACTTAAACATATTTCCTTACTCGACAAAAACTATCAAAAGTACCAATTGTTTTAGCTTGTGGCCACATTGATTTTATGGAAATTTTTTAATCAAAATCCGTAAAAATATCGGTTGCGTTCCTTGCAATACTATGATGTATGAAACCAATAACTTCGTTTATAATTTCAGTTGATCTTTGGCTCCAGAGTACTAATGCAACGGGAAAAATCTAAAAAACAAGAGCTCAAAATTTACATGATCATTAACGATAAAAGAGTAATTGATACTAACGATTCAAAAAATAAAAGATGTTAAAATGTATTTTTATAAAAATAAATTATATTTACATATTTTTGAACTTGGGTAGTTATGTAGGTAATTAACTGTGTATTACCGAATCCTGGCATAACTCTAGTTGTCGAACTAAAATGAAGATTTTTTAATTCTAAAGATGCCGTGATGTTAGTAGCATAAATTAATAAAGCTTGATTTTCAAAGTTGATAATGGAAAAATAATGACTGGTATTTCCATCATAATAGTACTTTTTAAATTGACAGTATTCATTTGAAATTAATAGATCGTAGATATTTTGGAAATTTTCCGGATTTGGTAAGATGATTTGTTTTTGGTGATTGTTCATTATATTGTGCACATCAGTATATTTAAGTAAAACAGCAGCTTCAGGAAATCTAATAATTAAAACAATTTTAAATTATTAAAATAATTAAATTAATATATAATTATAAAAATTGCTTGATTAATCATACTTACTTAGCAGATGAGAATCGGTGTATCTCTTCAGTTGGTAAGAAATATTTATAAGACATTTCGATGAGTAATTTTTTAAAATCTTTTTTTTTTTTAAATTCGTTTAAATCCGTAGCGTGGAAATGTGGAGAAGTTAAAAATATAGGATCGGCGCCAATTTTGTAACCCCGTGCTCTGCATCCATCATTTCGTAAACGACAATGAAGGTATCTAATGATGTTGAATAGTATGATGTAGGACAGAAGATTATTTAATGTTAAAAATAGTCGAACAACGGAATATATATTTTCAAGCACATTAATAATATTTGTCAGCAAAATTTACTTTTTATTGCCTTCTTCCCGTTTGACGTAATAAAATTCCCTATTTTCTAGTATTAGACGTTGTAGCACACCACGACGTGCCATTTTTATCAACAATACAATTAAATTTATCGTTATTTACGATTAAATCTATGTTAATCGGGTATCCGATTAAAAAAGGTAATTAATCAAATAATTAATTAATTCAGTTAAAATAATCCATTGAATGCAAAAAACTGCACAATTTAGTTACTTTTTTATACTGTTTACTGCCAGCAGTCACAAACAAGTACATGAAATGATTTCGATACTTGAAAAACAAGTGAATGAGAACTTCTAAATCAAAATCAAAACACTGTACTACACCGGTAAAGTCATGTTGCGCGTGTTTACGTTGTGCTTACTGGCCGACTACGTGAGTATGTACAGTCTCTTTCTGAAAGATTCATACATGTACCATAACGTATGTTTTCTCGAAAAATTGTGTAGGCTTTTAATATGAAATAGAATTTCATTTATTCATTATTGTGTGGTGGAAAAAATATTACGAAATCAAAATTCATGTAAATATTTATGCAAAAATTTCAAAAAGTGAAAAGGAGTGATGTTTCATTTCAATTGTAATTATCATCATGAAAAAAAATCCGATATTTCATGATGGACATTGTTATGTAGAAGCTTGGAAAAAATCTAATACAATGTGAGTAATTTCATTTGAATTATACTTTCAACTATTTCATGCTCTAAGAAAAATATTAAACTGATATATTTTTCGAATCAAATAAATGATCATGAAAAATCAAATAATGGTTATTTGGCAGAAGGGCATATAATTAGCGAACATATAATACTGGCAGAAGGTCATAATCATTCTTGAAATTTCGACACAGAAAAAATGTACAACTTTAAAAAAGAGCTGTATGCTGCTGTTACTTCGAGCTTTCGTCCTCTGCGCACACTTTATAATGAAATTAGTATGAGGTATGTTGAAAACCATGTATACTATCTCACAAGAAAAATTATTTTATAAAACTTTATAAAAAAATATTTATTTATTTTCATTTTATTGCATGAAACTTTTTCATACTGTACATGGAATATAGCTTTCTTCACATGAAATGAGATACTTCTTTATTGTGATTAATTTTTTCTTTTGACAGGCATCGCAGAGCATCACAAAATGACACATATTAAAGCATAACTAAAACGATAAGAAATTGGCGGAGAACAATTTGTCCTCCAGAACCCACCTCCCTTGAGGAATACTGTTTATTATTGAATAGAAATGAATGGAAACATTTAATCAATCCAGTAGATGGTAATTTGGGTGCCACTTTTGTTCAAGGCAGTGATGGATCTGTTGCAATAGTTTTTATTGATTCAGTACTACTGCGAAAATTTCAATCAGTAACTTTATACGCTGATGCAACATTCAACTTTGTCTGCGCAGTCCGAATAATCAAATATATCAATTTTTTACCATTTTGGTAACAATGGATGATTCGGTAAAGCTCATAATACCTATTGTTATATGCAATTTTAATTAAAATCCTTTTTTCTTACTCAGAAGCATACAACAGACAATTGAATGATTTGTTCGGTAAACACCCACAAATATGGCGATTTACAGGTAATAAGTTAATCAATAGAAAAATTGACATATTGCAACTTTTCTATTGGTTGTATTCTAACATTAAAAGTGAATGTTATTTTCAGTTAATTTGAAATAACTTTATGAAGTAAAAAGAAATGAAATTCAGTCACTGTTAGAAGGTCGTGCATTACAACAAGAATCTCGGCCTAAGCAGGTATTTAACTCACAAATTTTGATACGAGCTTGGAATCTATATGGTGAAGATGTATTAGATGCTCCACATTTTCCAGAATGTGCTAATCACTTCATACCAGTATTAAATAACAATGCAATGTTGAGTAGTGTAACTGAAGTGGATAACTTCATCAATTCGCCTTTGAAGTGTTATGGTAATTTCATTATTTTAAAATAATATCTGCCTACATACTATATCATAATTAATTATTATTTTGATATTTTTATTGTTGCAATTGATAGAAATCGACACATTGTTTTTGACTATGAGCCAAGTGTTGGATCACAATGGTTTATATTGGTTGAAAATATCTAAATATTTCATACTATTGACATTTCTTTTAGTGAAATAAG